ATACGCCGGCTGGGAGGCAACTTGGCTCAAGCTTGACCCGGTGCGCTTCACAATGCTTGAGTCTTGAAAAGGGGCAAGGAATTTCCTGGAATATTGGCAAAAAAGGATAGACGAGTCCTTTTTCGCCAATTTTGATATTGCCGTTTTTCCTCATAACTCCCATAATTCTCATGATTCATAACAACGGTAATACCCGACATCAATCACGTGACTCTAAACTTTACAATGATTCCGAATAAAAACTCGAAATAAATTCCAAAATAATTTCCTATAAATTTCGCCTATGAATTATAAATGAAGGAAAAAATAATTGACCATAGATTTAACATGAGTTGTCCGGAATTCCGAACAATTTACAAAATAAAGGATTCTCGGCAATCTCAGCATCGAGGCAATAACGTAGAAAATCCGTAAAATCGACGCTCTGCTGGTCGGATGGTCGAGTAGTGGAGAGTTCTTCTTTCCAGGTCGTTCTTCGGACCTGGAGACGTTATATCCGTGCTTAGAGATATCTTCTGTGCCTTTGCAATTGGCATGGGCTCGGAGAGGGACGCAGTCGGCGGACCCTTTCTCTGATTCTCGTCATCGGAGTCATGTGAGCTCCTCCAGTTCTCTCGAAAATTATACTGGCCTCTCCTTAGGTGGGTTGTGGGTGATGGGTCTTGATTTTGTAGATTTAACCACGGCGGAGCGGATATAGAGACATTAAAAATATTGTTAGTGCCGGAAGGGTAAGCAGACTTTCCTTCCTGACACTCGCAATTGAGGAGTCTCCCGGAGGCCGTACTCACATTCTTATTTACTTTCCAAAAAGGATTTTTTAGCATAAAAATAAAATTAAAAAAATCGACAACATAACACTCGGTTCACGACCTAGCTCGTAACAAACTTATACCAGGAATATTTGGTAAATGATTGGAATACGATGGCAAGAAACCTAGTTTATAAGAGCATAATGGGGCCACATTTTTTACTACTCTGGTACAATATTGCACATAATGAACGAGACAAACATGAAGACATTGCAGAAACTACAAAACAGAGTAATGAGAAACATTCTCCATTGCAGCGAAAGAACGGAAGAAGGTAAAATGCTTGATGCACTATATTTTCTATTAATAGATCGAAAACTGACGATAAATGTGATAAACTATATGCATAGTTTAATGAAAGAGGATGAGTTGCTAAAATCGAGACTAGTAAGGGATGAACAAAAACAAGGAGCGGGGCTGCTATTAAACTGCCGCGAAGGAAAACATGTAGCATACAAGCAGATGTAATAAATAGTGTATAAGGGACTGAAATTGGATAATGAAGTAATGAAAAGGGTAGAGCAAAAAACAAAGACTCGCGAGGCCATTCATTTGCGAAATCACTGTGTCACTTTGGATTGAAATCATTTCTCACAAGTCACTCGAGTACATAAAATCTCATGAAAACGGTCGCAGTAACTTGAGCTAAATGAAATCCTCGGATTTCATCTAATTCAAGTGATTTAAAATGAATTCGCATGCACTGAGCGAAATCATATGAATCACAAAGGTAACGAATAATTACAAAATCGTCCATAAATAAGAAAAAAAAATATTACATGAAAGATACACCCATTATTGTCGCTTAATTGAACGTGTGTTTTCAACGAGAGAGTATATACTTGCGACATTACTAGGAAAAATCAATTGATAAATTTACTCAGCATGTCTTGATGTTGGACGCGATTGAAGTGGTAATTTTGACTAACCGTGAAGTCGTGCAGTTATTGAGGAGAGGTTGTTACAACGGTGCGTCGTCAATTTTATATCATACGTTGGGTCCACGTGTGCCGAAAAATGTGTGAAACAGATTTTTAATTTTGAAGGAAATATTAGATCCTGATGAAAATTGACAGTTGGTTTATGGTCCTTATTATAAGAAACCCAAGAAATTTGAAGTCAATGTTGAGGAGCTCACCATGATAATGAAACTCGTACACTTATTAACAGAAAATTTTTGGAGGTCTAAAAAGAGACCCTATGAAGACTCAACCAAAATCAGTGAGGAGGAAAATGCCGTTGACGATTCCTAATTATGAGAATATTGATATTTAACGCTAGAAATTTACTAACAGGAGGAGAAAAAGTGGTGAATAGATGTTTTGAAAAAGCGAATATCGTTGAACGAGGAGCTGAATGTCACTCAATTCTTAGTTGACGATTTATCTGTTAAAGCAACGGTGGTTAAGCAGTGTCAGGGAGAGAATTTACCGCATTCGTTCTCGTACGAGGAAAAAACTATATGCATTTCTTGCTCATCTGTTACGGAGCTAACGACAGTTTCAGTTGCCGTGAAAACTAGTAGTCGTTGGGTAGTGACGGACCAGGAAAGATAGTTGAAGAGTTCTGATAAAAGGAAAAGATCATTTTTAATAATTCTTTTTTTTTCATTTTCTTTAATGAACATTTTTACTATATATTTTATTATTTAATTTAATTTTAATTTTATTTATTTAGTCGACATGAATGAGGTCCACAGTTAGCAATTCCAAATAAAAACGCTGATTGTTCCAGCCAGGCCAACATTGAGCAAGTAACGTTTATGACAGTTGTCCGCAACTGTGTGGCAAATTGATAAATTCGAGAAATCATATATTTAAAAAACACGGGTTTTATCATTAGATGTGACCGCAATTAATCGGTTCTCGCTCAATAATCGATTTGTTGTCAAAAAATTGCATGAATCGATTAGAATTAATGAGACAATTTCGTACTATCAATTACTTTGAATAACAGAAAAAACTACGAAACTGCATCAACTAAGGATTGAAGAAGTATTTTGATTTTAAATGTTTCAATTCAATGTGTTGTACCTGTAGGTTCATTGTAAGTTCTAGGCTCGAAGGGATAAATCCCACGAATAATTTATAGGTATAGTTAAATATGAGAGCTTATTACTTCAACTATGTCATCTGACTGATTACAATGATTATAAGTAACACAGGTCGGAGCCCGATTTGGATCTGTCTTTTCCATACCGAAACGGCTTTTTAAATACAATAATTGTTTCTCTGTCATTCATTGGTCAGCACTAGTTACGCTGGCAAGTATCCCGCTAACAATTTTTTATGTCCAAAGATTCAACAGTTGATCAAATTTGGGACGTAACAAACGCATAATCTTATATATTACTTATATATATATATACTTTTCATCCGCCCCTCCTTCTCTCTATGGCTGAAGTGACAACTGATGGCGATTTGAATTTTTCTATATCTAACTCGGGGACATCTGCCAATGATCAGGTAAGCAAATGATAGCTAAAAAAATCTTCCAAATATGTAATAATTTTTCAGAGAATGACTTTGTGAAAGAATGCCCCGCCGATGGCACAGAAAATTTTTTTCTTTGAACGCCCTCCTACTCCATCAAATCAGATATTTCCAACTTGTGCTCTTGTACAATTATCCCATTTTAATAAAAAAGTACGGACTCTATGTTTTTGATTTTTTTTTACTTTTTTTCAGCCTACACGCATTTATATGGTGCAGTTCTAGTTCATGCAGAAATGCACCAGTTTCAGATAAAAAATAAGAAAAAAAAACTATCTACACGAGATAGTCAGATACTCCAATCGGGTCTTAATTCAAAAATGAAAAACTTGAAAATCTAACAAATCTTGAAATTAGTAGATAAGTTTTGCTGAATGAAGGGGAACGGGGGGGGGGGGGGGATTCCATAAATTAAAGGATTTTTTAAAATAGAAGAGAATGAAACAAATGGTGAAATATTGAAAAAGTTAAGAACGACAGACAGTTATTGGTCAAATTTCATATAGGAAGTGAGGTTAGCACAACATTTTTCCAATAAAAATAAATTGAAAATGATCTTAGTCGGATAGGTACGATGAAACTGCATCTAGCGAATTTCACGGGGCTCATTTTTTTTGACATATTTATGACCCAAAAAGATAATTCTGTGGATAATTTCGGATCTTTATCTTCATTCAATAAAATCATTATCTTTTTCACTTTTATTTTTTTTTTCATTCTAAAAATCTTCTTAGAAATCTGAAAAAAACAATAAACATCAACAAAATTTCAAAATTGTAGAAAATAAGTCTTTTATATTTTTTCCTTGATAAATTCGATTTTATGGCGCTTAATCGTTTTTTCTACTTAATTTTGATGTGCACAGATTTCTCTGCTACCGAGGCAAATTAGAGATGATCCTACTCTCAATTCTTTTCAAATTGAGGAATAAAAAGTGTCGATCGTGTAAATGTGCCTGCAACCCATTAAAAAACAACAAACTGCCAATTTTCACGTCTTTTGTTAAAAATATTCGCAGAGATCATTCCTATAGGTCAATTAACTAGTAATTACATCCATGCATAGTTACAATTACTAGTTACTTCAAGAAATCTGATGGGTTTGAATTTCTTATTTGTTCAACACAACTCATAAATTAATTGGAAAAAGAAGTTTTAAAGAAAAAGAAAAACAAAATCTGGTATATCGGCGCTAATGATTGAGATAAAACCTCAGCTTATGCTTAACTTCCTGCACATGGACTACACTTGTCAATTGAAAAAAAAAGAGAAAAGAAATTTTTTTATTCGAAGGTCGTCATCTTGCTGAGAATTGGTGAAATAATTAATGTATTTCTAATTAGGGTTTGAAATATTCATTTCGGTGCGAATTCTAGTGAATTCACATTTAGGAGTGACCTCGTTATTCGAAAAATGTTATATCTTGAAGAGAATATGCAAATTAACTTGAAAATGCAAATTTCTTAATTTTCACTATAGTAATATGTTCAAATTCTTCCAATTATTTCAATCAATTCATCCATAAGGAATAATGATGTAAGCCAGAAAACTAATATTTTACTTGTGTTGTTCGAATTCCTATCGTGGCGGTAAGTGCATAAGTTGATTCAATTCAAACGGTGTACTACATCGATATTCGACGTATTCTCAGATAAATGTGGAGCCACATATCAATAATTTAGGAAAAAAATACTCACATCTGTGAATTTGTCAGCAACCATATACCGAACTCTCCAGGACTGATCTGCGGCGCACTGGCGTAAAGTGGGCATCACAAGTTGTTCGACGTCTTCCTGCTGGAGTAGAGTAGCAATGCTGACACAAGCATCAACTGCCAATAGCCGAACAGAATCCTACAAACATAGCGATCCTAACTTGAAATTTCTTACGACCGAATCAGTTATGAGATACCAAAATGATTCATAATTCCTACGATTCTAATTTAGTTGGAATAATTCGAGATCCTAAAATTCGGAGAATAAACATAGGCGTTGAAAATTTAAAAAAACTTTTCATAGAACTTCACGCAAATTGTAATAAAAAGGATCATAGAATTTTCTAGCATATGCACGAAAAAAAAGTTCTACAATTTTGTGCAATAATCTCTGCATAGCTTGATATCACTCACTGGGCTAAGAATTAAATATTTATTTATTAATTAAAAAAAAAATTAAATGGGCGGATAATTGCAGAAAATTACAATAAGTTGCAGGGCTAGGATTTGACGAAGCAGGGGGGAGAGGAGAGGGGCATAAAAGTAAATCATTTCCTGCGGCATTCAGGAAGGATTAGTTTACAAAGTCGTTCTCTGAAAATTTTTTAATTATTTTTAAGATTTTCTCAATCATAATTTTTTTACCTCATAATCGGCAGATGTCTCCGAATTAGATACAGAAAAATTGAAAGATATTTTATTTTATTGCCCACCCCCACCCTCTGCTGCGCCAAATCGGACATTTCCAACTTGTGCTTTTCTACAATTACCCTCCCATCTCAATAAAAAAGGACGGAATCTATATTTTTCATTTGTTTTTTACTTTTTTTTCAGCCTATATGCATTACTTCCGGATGTTACCGAACATAGAAAAGAAAGGAGATTAGATGAATTCAATATGTTATTGTATTTGCATTTAACTTAACCATACTTTTTTAACAATTCTATGTTTTACCAGTATAAATTTAAGACAGAGGATATTTCACTTGGGAGCTGTGTGAAGCTAGCATCGAAGTTGAAGGAAAAAAAAAA